GGAAAATTACTTCATGGAAAGGGTGCTCAGGCATTGGAAGGGGCTGCCCAGGGAAGTGGCTGAGTCACCACCCCTGGAGGTGTTTAACAGACCATGAGGTGCTTAGGGACATGGTTTAGTGTAGTATTATCAGCATCAGGTTAACACTTGGACTCAATCTTAAAGGTCTTTTCCAACCGAAAAGATTCTCTGATTCTGTGTGTGTGTAAAGGAGCCAAGGCTGCCTGGATCTTGCAGCTACCACGACCCACACTCCGACCCCTCCTGCATGCAGCCAGGGCAGGCCCCGTTGCAGAAGCCGTCGGACAAGGCACTTCAGCTCATCTGCGCCACACGTGGGAGCGGGCAGGCGTCACCCACGTGACACCAGTACCAGCAGCACAGTGGGAGCCAGATGTTTCCGGCGGCTGGAGGCTCAGGCTGGCACTCCAGCACTAAACGGCGAGACAGAACTGGTGCTGTCCTCAGCCGGTCTGTCTGCCCGGCCCTGCGCAACACTGCACAGCTCCGCAAGGATGGGCTTGGGGATCGCTGTGCCCCACGCTCGCTGTCGCACCGGAGCCCCATGCCAGCGCTTTCCCAGATGGCAGCTCTGTAGAGACTGGGTGTGCAAACTAACAGAAAAGCCTCCTGTGCTGCCGCAACAGAGGAGCTTCAGATTTTCTACAGCCTTCGAGCAGCAAGCACAGAGAAGGAAATCAACTCGGAGTCATGTCCCTAAATGCATCAAGATACAAAGTCTTACAGGAGTGTGTGCGTGTTCAGCTGTTTGGTTTCTAGGGAGAACGTGGATGCTGACTGAATCCAAAGAGGTTATTTCTGTAGGTCTAAATCCGCTTTGAACTCACCTGGTCTGTGTACACGTCCGGCGGTACCATCTTAGTGAAGAAGTCCGAGCACACAGCTCCTGCCTGTAGGTAATAGTGAAGGGCTGCGGAATACTGATTCGTTGCTGCCGTGGAAAAAAGCAAAGGAAGGTCTTAAAACTCTTAACAGCAGTTATTCCCAAGACTCGGATCAACTGTTTTGCGAATTACTCGGACACGTTTATCGCACAGCTGTTAACTCTACTGGGAAAGTGACTTGCCTGTCAGTTGCTGCCTAAAAGGAACAGACCCACGAGAGGTGGTGAAACAGCAGAAAACTACACAATCAGGGAAACCAGCAACACAGGCAAAGTCCTGCCTTCTGAGAATCACTTTTAATTTTTCCAGGTATTTGACCTTAAATCCATCAACCTCAGAGTGGAAAAGAAGTTTGCCCTTACGGAACTTGGCACACGAGTGGCAGAGCAGGAGCCAGAGAGGGCCAGCTGATGCCACCACACCCCGCCGTGGTTCAGCACCGGTCTGACCCCCAGTCAGCCCACGGGGCCTCTGTGGTCAGAGCAGTCTGCTCGCCCACACTGCTTCTGAAAGACACTGCCGCGTGCCAGGAGCGCTCCAGCCCTCGCTCTTTCCGGCACCAGCTTCGGAGGCTCCCTACACAAACACCCTCCTTCTGGGACGCTTTGAACGAGCTGTAAATACTGCCTGTTTAACACCCTGAACCACTCTTCTGCGCCTAAGGTGACAGCCCTAAACACTGGATTAACACTCCTCATCCCAAGGGTTATAAAGCATCTCCTAGACAAATCTGCCTCCTTTGGAAGCAGCAGGCTAGGATTTCTGCACCACAGACATCCTTCCAGTCCAGTAAAAGAGATGTGGAAGCATGCGCCTCGCCTCCTGCATCAGCCCAGAGCACCAGGATGACAGAGGCAGAGCACATGCCCTGTTCTGTTTTCTGACCCTGCCAGAAAAGAACCCTCTGCCTGAAGTTCACTGGAGTAGTTGCCACAGATGATTTAAGTGGAAGAAAAGCCCAGCTATCTCCAAGGATGGCGATGGCATATCCCTCTCTAGCACGTACACCAGGTAGCTCCATACTGGTCTGGCCACCTTCTGGAAGTTCATTCTGCAGCACCCACCCCTCTGCACTCTCTTTACTCACGCTGCAAAGTAAGCCCAGGAATGGACTCTAGACTGGGGAATAATTTAAAGAAACGTAGTATCACACAGGCTGGGCAACGTCTCCCCAGGCAGCTACTGCCCCGGTACAGCCATGCTGCCCAGATTCAGGAACGCTTTATGTCCCGATTCCGCTGGCTGCTCTCAGCTGAGGAGCCAGGGATAAGAACCGGGGAAGTGCAGGCGAGGACAGACTAGTGGAGAGAGCTTCCCATCACAACCACTACCAGATGAGGAGTTCCTGCTTCCTCATTTGCAAATCCTGGATACTTCCCTCTACAGAACACTGCTCCTGTCTGCTCACCTTCTGCTCCAGCGAAGCAGATCTCCACGTTTAAAAGCAAGCACTACTCACACAGCTTTCCGTTCACTCAACAAAGACTTGAACCTTTGGGGCTTGCGAAACCGACCGCTGAAAGGACCGACTGCACCCGCTGAAGAAGTGAAGTTAACAACGGCTCTTACAGTTTCCCTTCCCCTAAAAGCAAGTCCACAGGACCCACGGAAAGCTCAGTCTCCCTGTGGGCTTAGACAAACCTCACGGACACATTCACCTACACTCTCGCATCTGAAGATTTTCAACTCGGATCACTTCAGCTTCTTTTTGTACGAGGAAATACAAGGAGGGTTATGTCAGGCAAGTCTCAGAGGAGCAAGGTACACGTGCTAAAAACAGACACCATTTTCACTTACCAAAATAAATATCTGCCTGAATAATTAACCAGAAGTGGTTGTTTGCGTTGATGGTCAATGCATAGCTGACTAGTTCTTTTACTGTAACAGCCACGGCTTCAAAGTCTACTGACTGAAGGCTAAAGGGAAAAAAAAGGAAGAAGAATAATTCCTAAATGATTGTTTTCGTTTTTTAAACGGAAATCTGACCTCACATCTAGTTTAAGCCCAGAGCACCTTGCATTATGTGTCAAGCAAAAGTAACTCCAGGAAAGATTTAACACTGACCCAGACTGCTGTTGAATTGCTTTAATTACAATTAACCTGACAGAACAAACACACCCTCCACAGACTGGGACAGAGTCAGGCCTTCATGTGCAGCCGACACCAAAACAGGGTTCCATGCGAGAATATTCGCTCTTGGTTTCACTAAGTTTGAAGACAGCACCTGTGACCACTACAGATGTATCACAGCACCTGCATGAATCACAGAATCACAGAATGGTTTGGGTTGGAAGGCACATTCAAGACCATCTAGTCCCAACCCCCCTGCCATGGGCAGGGACACCTTCCACTAGACCAGGTTGCTCAAAGCCTCATCCAGCCTGGCCTTGAACACTTCCAGGGATGGGGCATCCACAGCTTCTCTGGGCAACCTGTTCCACCTCCTCAACCTGCCTCACCACCTTCTCCGTGAAGAACTTCTTCCTGATATCCAATCTAAACCTCCCCACTTCCAATTTAAACCCATTACCCCTTGTCCTGTCACTACAGGCCCTTGTAAAAAGTCCCCCCCAGCTTCCTTGTGGGCCCCCTTCAGGTACTGGAAGGCTGCAATAATGGCCACAGACGACAATCTCTGGAAACCTGTGGGAACTAGCTGGGAAAGGAAGGCTGGGAATGGTCTGGGACACGGCTGGGGCTGTCTTTTCCAAAGCTCATGTGGAGGCTCCACTTTCAGAAACGTGTGGAGGCTCCACTTTTAGAAACATGTTTTTTTCCTCATTCTGCTGCTAAATTCTGGTAAGACTTCAAACCAACTTTCTTCTGCTTGACCTCCTAATACACCCTGAAGCCTACAGCAGTCACGACAATCGGTCGGACCGACGAAAGACAGATCAGCCACATGCAGCGTCGCAGGCTCTTGCTCTCTCACAAGTCACCTCTCCCGATGCGTACGTGGAACCTAAACCAGCGAGGCTCTAGCCCCACTGAGCCTCTAAGCCTCACCGGAGAAACACTCTTCAATCCAACCAGAACCAACCAACACACACCGTGTGTCACTTAGTATTTCAGCAATTATTCAAACCCACCTCAAAAAAATCATAGTTATTTTGTATCAGAATAGGATATATGTTTCACATAGTTGCATACAGTTCAATAAAGCACACAGCCACACACCCCCTCCAGCTCCAGTACCTTCACCTCCACCAGGACCACCAAATTCGAAGGAAAACCCTCCATGCACTCAGACCAAGCTGCCTGCAGACAGATGCCCTTACACGGCAGAAATCACACCAACACACAGTAACTGGAACCAAACCAATTACTTAAACGTGTATTTTGAAAGCTGTTTTTTTGTAATTATCACCTTACTTGGGGATGGACGAGGGCCAGATGGAAATGTGCTCTGCTGCAATGTCATTCACGATATCTTCCTAGGAGTGGAACAAAGGGAAGAGGAATTACAAAGAGAAACATTTCAAGAAAACCAGGTGGAGATGTTCACGATCTATACTAACCCGAACGTTATGCAGCTTGACAAACAGGGACAATATTGTGGTTAAAACCAATGGTTCCTGCAAGGAAAAAAAAACACAGTATTGCCATGAACTAACAAAACTCTGCTTTCTTCCCTAAGTTTTAAAGCTATGTAAGAAGTTCTGACATCATCACTCCCTACTGAAATAGGGCACCATTTTGTTAAGAAACCTGCAACACAGGAACACAATGAGAAAGTTTCTGCAGGAAGTCTTTGATTACTTCAGATTTTCCTGAATAATTCCCTGCATATAAACTTTACTTAGGTATTGCACATCTTTATGTTGTTTCTGTGGCTACTGCCTGGCTTTAAACTTAAGTTAGGTGTACTGCAACTTTCCATGCGTTCACAAACCCACAAGCTTCCCCTGACTTGTGCTGCTCAGTTACGATGAAGCAGCAGCTTCCTTCTCCCTCCAAGAGGGATGCTTTTCTTCCTGATAGCTGGAATAAAACAAACTTCATGATGGCTGGCAATAAAATGTACTCCTGAAGCAGAACAGCAAATTCAGCAGTTCTCCAGCCATGTAACACACCTGCATAGCTATCAGATTTCCTGAATTTAACAGGCAAAGTCCTGAAAAATATTATACCAAAAAAAAGTTCTGGTTGCAAACAGATTCTCAAAACCACTATAACTTACCCGAAGCTTTTTGATGAAGGACAGCAATTCACTCCTAAATCAGGGACACAAATACCCATGTAAGCAACCATCCACAGGAAAGAACATACCCAAAAAATATAAGTAAGCTTAATACACCAGGAAAAACACTCCAAACTCAGTAAAGCAAATTCTTCACCCACCAAAACGCTCCTTTGTCTCCACGTTTCCAAACGCAAGGTATACAAGCGAAAACACTCAAATGGGTCATTCACTTTTAGCACAGTCACTGGCAAGTTGTACATTTAAAACAGGTTAAATAAGAGGTATCTGTGATTCCATCAAACTGTAAAAAGCATGAAAATCGCTTTTGTGGTAAGTCAACCACTGACTCTAAAAGGAAAGCAACTGAACCGTACCGTAACTCTCCAAGGCAGGAGTGCAGCAATGACCTACAGGCTAACAGAGGAGGGTACACAGTGATCATCCATCATGTACACCGATGTACACAAGGTCATGCCACATCAGAAGTTGTCACCATAAGACAATCCAGACAAGCACAGCCTGTTTGGAAAAGGTTTCACTGCTTCTTTTCTCTAAGAACAGGGTCACTGCCCTTTACTCTTTGAATCAGAGGAGCTGGAGAAGGTCCAGTATCCTAGAGTACAACTGTACTGCTTCCTTTTCCTTGCCAGAGGATACAGCAAGCACGTACCCTCTTCCACCCACCCCACAGCAGCGTAAGCAAGAGCAGCTGGCTTTCAGACACATATTAGATCAGCTCAAGAATGGCAAAGAAACAGCCAAATAGGGGCACTTTTTCCAAGTTTTTAACATGGAAAGCTGTTCACTATAATCACACATTCCAGAATTTACCATAATAGGCAACTTGGACTTAAGAACAGGTTGAAAACACTTACTGGGTGGACAAATGGGATAGTCCTGCATCCATTAATCCATCAGCTCAGGCTAAGGCTGGCTGAGGTGAGGTAACTGACAGTGGCATTACTCCAGAAGACAGTACTATCTTCCTTTCCCTCTCCCCAGAGGCTCAGCTGAACTAGTGTTGCATTTCAACTAGCTGTAGATTCAGGAAACTACAGCTAAGTGCAGGCACCCACGCTGTGAGCCAGGTGTTCAGTGCTGTAACAGAAGCTGTTAACTGATCCCGCCAGTGGAGTCTGCAGAGCGGTCCCCCCCGGCGTAGAGCGCCCCCTCCGATGGGTCAGCTAAACTGCCCTCCAGGCACCACGGACTTTACAGTAAGATCTACACCGACTGTGAACAGGAGCATGGGCACGTATGCTTTGGTGTCTGCACGCCAACCCAAATCCCAAACACCCCCTTTTCACTCTTGGAAAAGGAAAATCAACCCATCACCACTAACACCCAACGCTGCCAGGGAGCAGCCTGTTTACCCGGTACAGATCTTCCACTGCCGCCGCCACTCTGACATCAGATTCCAGACAATTCTTGAAGGGAACGTGAGGTCAAATATACCAATCACACCATCCTTAGAAGTCACTTGAGAAAACACACCTGTACATAATGCCCAGGGTGGACTCCCTGTGTTTGATCAAGCTCACTCTGCCGTCGTTCCCTCGTTTGTGCTGGTTGGACACACTGCAGATTTGTACCACGACTTCCCAAAGGTCTTTCGCTGTCCGTCTACTTTCTTTGGGACCTGGAAGTTCTTTGCATGTAGCAGCCAGCAACTGTCCCAGCTACGCAATGCAAGAGGAGAAATACAGTCAGTATTCAGAGAAGCTGTAGTTACTACAACAAAGGAATTCTTGGTATTTCAACTGGCTAAGCAGGTGATTTGTAGTTGGTAACTGTAAAGCAACAAGACTAAACCCTGCAGCTGAGGACACTGATGAGGAACCTGGAAGACATGAATAAACGACAGAGGATTTTTCCCTTTGTTAGTTTCCTCCGGGTGTATTTTGTTACTACAGGCTCCAGAAAACAAGCTTTACACTCAAATACAGAGAATCACAGAATGGTTTGGGTTGGAAGAGACCTTAAAATACCATCTAGTTCCAACCCCCCCGCCATGGGTAGGGACCTTCCACTAGATCAGATTGCTCAAAGCCTCATCCAGCCTGGCCTTTCATAAAACACCCAAAAAACCCGTAAAATATAGTTTTACAAAGACTGGCTCCCTAGAACTCCCTTAACTTTCAGATAATAATTAATCTGAATTGAAACTGGTACCCTCTGCTATACAGAAAAAACTGAACCCCCAAATGGAAATTAGGAAATAGCACAGGTAAGCAGAGCAGGCCAAAAATGAATCTGTCCTGTAATATGACCTGCATTCGGCTTCCCTGCCTGACTGTGTGGTGAAAACATTACTTTCACAGTGGTTTTACAGCAAAGTTTCAAAAACAGTGGTGTTTGGACATCTCCAGAAATTCAACACCAGTGCTGGGTTCAAAAACGGGACCATTACAGTGCATTTAGAAAACAAGTGTCTCAGGACCAGAAAAATAAGGGGTCACGAAGCCTGAGACCTGTACACTTCTCGCACCTCCTTCGTGAATCTAGGCTGAACTCCAGCCGAGAGGACAGTCCTTTCTGGCTGTGCCACAGGGTTTCGATCAGCGTATGGATTGTAACCACACGTGCCCGATGCTTACGGTGCCAACCTCAGTTGGCAGCCAACAGGGGCCAAGGTGCGGTCTGTCCCATCTGTTCTCGCAGCACAGGCTCCACGTCTTCTGCCGACTGTCAGACACACCAGCTGCTTAGCCCTGCTGTCTTCTACGCCAGGCTTCACTCCACAGAGCCACAAAACCCCACACTCCCGAGACAGTACAGGACGGTACACACTTTAACTTCCTCAGGAAAAAGTCAGTTAGAGCCTGACGAGGCTCTGGGACGGAGCACTCATTACCTTCACATAAGGATTCGTCTGAACCAAAGGTAATGGAACCTGCATGGTCAAATACTCATTCTCACGCCAGTTTAACAGGAAGGCAACACATTCTTCAGCTATAACTTGTCGAAGAGGAATATCTGGAAAAGAGCTGTTCTTTGCTTAAATGGGATTTTTTGAGAAAACACAGTGTTATATGGGAACAAGCTAAACCCATTCCCTCCGCATCTTCTACCACAGAAAAATACGATGTTTATCACAGAATGGTTGGGGTTGGAAGGGACATTCAAGACCATCTAGTTCCAACCCCCCTGCCATGGGCAGGGACACCTTCCACTAGACCAGGTTGCTCAAAGCCTCATCCAGCCTGGCCTTGAACACTTCCAAGGATGGGGCATCCACAGCTTCTCTGGGCAACCTGTTCCAGTGCCTCACCACCCTCTCCGGGAAGAACTTCTTCCTGATATCTACTCTAAACCTCCCCACTTTCAATTTAAACCTGTTGCCCCTTGTCCTGTCACTACAGACCCTTGTAAAAAGTCCCCCCCAGCTTCCTTGTAGCCCCTTCCGGTACTGGAAGGTGCTATAAGGTCTCCCCGGAGCCTTCTCTTCTCCAGGCTGAACAAGCCCAATTCTCTCAAGCCCTTCAAGTGGCACTAACCAGAAACTGTCAGTGTTTAGCAATGTAGGGGTGTCATGATGTTGCTGATCTCATTTCCAGCTTCTAAAAACTAACCAAACTTCTCAAGACTCACTAAAACCAGTCTCAAACTTCACTGTTGTTTTGCCAGTTACAAAAACGTCAATGGCAGATGGACAAAGTTGGGCTTTTTTCCTTTCTCTCAGGCTTTGAGACAGCAGTGTCCTTACCAGGTACTCTCATTTCCAAATATCCTCGGACTCTGCTTATCAGATCAGAAGGAGGACGTTCTCCAGAAGCACCAGCTCCAGCTTCGTGGGTGTAAATGTCCAAAAGCAGCATTTCATTTAGCATGACTTGGCGGAGTTTCGGAGAAAACTCCGTCACGAGCTCCAGACAAGCAGCAAAAAGCTGTTTTGCATGAACAAAATCCTGCAATAAAGAGGACTGCGCATTAGTGGTTCCTAGTGGATGCACAAGGGGAAAGACTAAGAGTTAAAGTGCTGAAGAAGCCTCGGCATCCATTGCCATTAGCACTGCTCAGGCGTCTCACATTTACTATTTACATTTTTGAGTCCTCTGGGCTTGCTCTTAAGCTTCAGAGTTTCAACAGTCCCAAATTATTTTAACAAAACAAAAAGTTTGAGGAAAACCATACCAGAAGTACCTACTGGCATATAAGGTACAGTTCGGTTTTACCTTGATCAGCAAATTATAGATTCGTCAATTACAAGGCAAATAAACCAGCATTCCAATATACTGGTTATGTAAAATGGCCAGAAGAACAGCACTCCCTATATCAGTCAGTCAAATCACTGCTGGGTTTCAATGCGACATCATTCAATACATCATAATTAAAAACTTGTATGAATGAAGTTACATCCAGGCCCAGCTCACCGCAAAGCCATCATCCTTGCTCTACTGATGGAAGTTTGCGAGATGGACATATGTAACCATTATACAACACTCAGGGCTTGTTACTGCATCTCCTTCCCCTCTTTTGATTCTTTTTCTCAAGAAGGGCTTTCCATATTTTCGGTGTTGTTAAAATTCAATTCACCAGTAACTTCTGATGGCTTGCTTACCTTAATCGCACAGCAGTGTAATCCCTTCGCCATAAGGATGTAGACCAAATCCCTAGTCAGATTGTCTTTGATTCCTAAAATAACATTGCCGTAAACATTTGGCACTTCCCACTGGGAGAGAAATACACAGGACATTTGCACAGAAATAGGTTTTAGAATTCACATCACTGCTTAAAACGTTAAGAACAAAACTCAGATATCAATTATTTTCTGTGTTTAAGTGCCAACTCTTTCATTTTTACATCTAATCAGAAGTGATGTATTGCTCATATACAACCACAAGGGCTAGCTACCCTACTCCTGTCATACTCTGAATACGCAATAATTGCAGGAAAAAAAAAAACCCAAAAGACAAGAAATCCTTACGAACAACAACAATCTCTTCCTCTCTCCTGCTCCCAGCTTTTAATGACAGGAATTTAAACTAAAATACTATTGCTAACCAGACACGACACTGAAAGCTAAAGTTACAGAAGTCTCTTTTCTCACAAGAAAAGCTCATGATACAGCCAATTATTCCTTAAAACAAAAGGTTATACATTTTGTAATACTTTTCATAGAGAATGTGAGCTTAGATAGGTTTCATCATTCTTATTAAAACACCATTATGCAGAAAGGGTGGGGAATCACACTGAGGAACCACGACAGACTATCTGCTGTTCACTGCAGTGTGACACCTACCCAGTCCAGAATTACACTCTCTCCTGAGTGCATGAAATAAATTACCTTATTCGAAACTGTCCAGAATTGGCGTTCTGAAGTCATGCCATGCAACTCAATTAAGATCTGGCGAATCCTCCAAGGATCTACTGACAATATAAGCTGATGCTCAAGCTGGCCAATATTGACACTTGCTGAAGCTAGAAGAGGAGCAATCAGGTCTCTTAATGCAGAGGCTTACATACCTTCAGTACGCAACATTTTAAACGCAGCACAGTAAGAACAGCAGAAACATCAATTCTTCTGTAGGCCCCGTACACCCTTTCGCACCCTTCTACAACCACTGAGCTGGGAAGCTAGCACACCTGACCTAAAGGGATGCTTGCAGTGCCCACTTGTCTCACACCAGCAGCTCTGAGTATTCCCTTATCCCTGCTACAGTGAAGCAGCAGGTTCAAGACCTACACAAAACAAGGTGCTCCTGTACTACTTTAGTGAAAACGTGACTGTTCACAACTAGCTTAAGTCAATGCAAGGCTGTATCAGAGCGGAAAAGGTAAGTTCTTTCCAGCTTCAGTCACCACGTGGCACCTCCTGTGCCAGGTCTGACTTGCAGCTGCACAGCCAGCCAACTACACCTAGGAAATGAACTGGCCAGAGACTTGGGTTCTACTGCGGTAGGTTTAAAACTTCATCCAGTTGGTAGTCCTGGCCCAGCTCATCACGCCGACACACTGCATCAGTGCTGGTGTAAGCCCAGAGGCAGGGTGCCCCTTCTGGCAACAGCTGCTGCAGCCAGATTTGGTTCAAACCAACTGCCACACCTCTCACTCCCCTGGTTAGCTAGGACAGAACTGAGCTCATCTGAGATACAAGCAAGTAACAGCCACCACCCTGAACGAGCAGGACAACTAAACCCGGGAAGTATTTTCTCTGAAAACATTCTCTCTGAACTTCTTTCTGAGAACACACCTGCACACAGTAATCTCAAGGTGAAAACAGGTAACTGCCTCCATGTAAGTTAACAGAAAAGCTGTGAACATTACCTGGGATATCATAAAAAGAAGTCACAGGTTTTGTGCACAGGTTGATTCGAGGAGATCGCTTCCGCATTTGATCGATGAGCAGCTTCCGTTCATCGTCTTTCAGCAGTTTTATGAAGAGCTCATGGGAAGAAATCATGAAGACGAGCTGAAGATCTTCCAAACCCAAGCACAAGTTTCTGAACAAAAATGTTAATGTGTGAGCAGGATGAAGTTGCTCATTTTCCCAGTTATAAGTTCTCAAAGCATTTACTGTGCTGTATTACATCGCCTACAGAAGCGTAAATCCACGCTATCCCAATACGGGTACGTACTTGAGAAAGGCTGCCATTTTTCTCTTCAACGCTTCAGAAGCGTTTTCCAAGTCTATTGATCTCGAAGAAACCTGGGAAAGAAAGCCGTAATTAATGAAGCAGCCCCTCAGAACTCTTAAAATATTTGGTTTCAAGAGTGTTAGTGCCCAGTTTTCCGACTCACAACGAGCATCGGGCAGTAACCCTCTCTCAAGGGAGTTCAAGTTATCTGGCAAACACTGTAGCCACCACAAATGGAGCAGAGATCCTTTCAAGCTGTACACAAGACAGGCTGTTCAGACAACTGTCGTCTTCCCTCAGACACTACTCACATTCCTTCTTCCTACTCCTCGTTCCATTTTCCCATTCCTCTGATACTCAGGTGTGCTGACACCGAGTGCCACAGTATCAGTCGGCAGCACGAGATGAGGTACACAACAAAGCCCTTTTACACGAGTTTAACAACAAACAAATATTTCTAAGTGCAAAACCCTAAGATTCACTAGGACTAACAGCTAAAAAAAGCAGTAGTTGAACTGTAACTACGCAGTTGAATTTAACTGCCAGCTTGCAAGAGATAATTTTTGTTTTGAGAAACAGGTTTAAGCCCTACTATGAGCAGTTGGTGGAACAGCTTTTGCTTGCTCTCAAGTGCAGAGTACTCTCAGACAATTTTTGCCACGTGCTTGAAGAGATAAGCAAAAGACAAGGCTCAACTGAGAAAAGAAGGTAAGAAAATAACAGCAAAGCAACAAAGGGAGTAAGTTCAGTTTGAGCAATAATAGTGTCCTAAAAAGCTTCACTGAGGGCAACAGCTTAAGCCTCACACATACAGTAACGTGGGATCGTTTCATGGCATGCTAACTTTTACAACAAAGCTGGTAAGGGAAAGTCCTCCTCTTCAACAGGAGTGCTCTTTTTCTACTATCTCCCTACGTCTTGGAGAACTTGTTTATTTGTTCCTTGAAAACAAACGTTCAATAATATCTCTGTCTAATTAAATGATGTCGGGAGTGGCAGCAATTTCAAATCCAAGCTGGAGCAACAGGTCAACATCCGTTCCTCCCCGAGTAGGTGGAATCGGAGCTATGAACAGCAATGCAGGACTGATTACAGGGAGTGTAGTTGTACTAACGGCAGACAAGCTGAATAAAGTTCCAAAAGTTACCTTACAAAATATTTTTCTCTGCTTCAGAAATCTGACCATTACTTGCAACAATAATACCTTTGTAAGGGGAAAGAGATATCTCACTAAATGCCATTTCCCCTCCCGATTTCAGGTAACTTCTTACCTCAAGGAGGAAGTCTATCTTCTCTTTGTCGGGTTTCAGGAACAGTTGACAAAACTGAATATCAATTGTTCGACCCTGCAATACGTCGCAGACAGTGTTGCACACGCAGACTTTGAAACAAACTTCCTCCAGAGCATCATTCCTGCATGAACACAGAACCGGAGATCACAGAACTTCTCTGACAAACTCACAGTTGGTATCACAGCAAAGCTTCAGGTGCCAGACCCCAAGGCATTTTGGAGCACATGCCTCTGTCCGAGAGTGCACTCTGAAAAACTTCAGGCAGCATCTACTTAAGCTTACCCAGGACTTAACTTTTTTACAAAGAAAATTCCCTCCCTGCCCACAGCTGTTTCACATGCACACTTCACTACTGCTTCAGCCTAAGCATCACTGGAACTCCAACTAGAGCAGTGCGACTGACACGAAGGCACACTGCTTCTTGGCAAGCATGTCCCAAGCATGGCTGACAGCCCAAAAGACTTCAGGAATATTTATACATCTCAGAATACACCATCATTGGACAAAAATCAAAACAAATAACCAGAAGCTCTGGCTTCCTTCTCTTAATCCTTCTCTGTACCTTAACTAGACTGCCAAGTCACGCTCCTCCATCCTTCTCTGTCTAGTACTCATCACTGAAGGCACTCCGCATCAGCAAACACCTCTACACAGTGCTAAGCTACAGCCTCCAAGATCCTCTTCCAAGAGATGTTTATTTGACTCCTCTCTGGCTGAAGTGAAAGCTGAATTCAGCAACTACTACGCTCTTAGAAAAAAGGCTGTCACCACTGATACCTCTTTCCTCACAGGCATGTTTAAAACTGAGCCTCTCTCGCTTCTTCAACTGAAATACTTGTAGGCACCTTCCCTTCAGGGAATAATTATCATCATTATGCGGAGATGCTTTCCACACAGCCCCGATTCAAGTGCCAGAGCTCCACAGAAGGTTGAATTTTGGACGTGGCAACGAGCTCGGCATTTCTCAGCTGGGAGCCATCCACAAGCTGCCCTTGCAAGGTGCCCAATTCTCCATTTATTCCAAATGCTTTCTTATTATAAAAGTTAACCCCTCAGCCCTGGGCTAGTTTGGCAGTGCACGAGGCTCCTCATCGCAGACAACTACACTGTCAATGTTCCCAATGAAGCGCTTGTCCCCTACAATGTTACTGCTTAGTGTGGTTAGCCAGGCCAGCTTTGACTTCAAGTTTTCAAAGGCCTGTAAAAAGGCATCAACTTAGTCATATATTTAACTGATGCTATGTTATGTATCATATTCAATAATGTATATTGAAAAATTTAATAATATATACTTAATTTAATAAATGTATATACACACATATATATAATCAATTATGATTTTTACAACTTTACTGATTTATCTATGTAAGTGTTAATACTACATTTTCCCCATATATGGCCAGAGTGAGGTATATCACAATACAGCTTCCAACTAAGGAGCTGTAGTTTAGACTATTGCTAAAAGAAATAAAGGCTGAAGATTCTTGGGTGTAAATAATTTGTTGTTAGAAGCTTTTGGGTACTTTCCATGATAAACAGAAAACTCAGGAAAATGGCTCATTGAACATGTCATGATACAATGCCTCACCCTTGTTGAGCTTTTTGGAAGAGTTCTCTCAGCACAGATTGCCTGAACTGAACCGGTAAACCGAGGGTTAGATTATCTTCAAGGAATATCTTCACTAAGTCCTACAGCAAGAACACAGTTGGAATAGTCAGTGGGTAATGCAAAAGAGAGGAACAAAGTAATTTTTTGTCTGATAAAAGCCATCAAACTAACAGAAGCAGCTTGCATCTGTACAAAATAGTGAAATTCATTAACCAACCAGAAAGGTAACAAGCAACAAAGTTCTCTAGCAGCAGAGAATCACAGAAAAAAACCCAATCTTGCCCACCTCAGCAGCAACATTCCCTGAAACCTAGAGAATTAGATTCCACCTGAAAATGCCATACATCAGCTAGTAGGAATGATTTACATTGTATGGAATCCAATACAGTCTAATCCAATATGTATCAGATTATGTGATTATGTGTTCTAAACCAGTATGTTAATGGTTAACTGGAACACTTGAATTTATTTCAATCCCTATCAGTCCCGGTGGAATCATCCAAATGGAATGATAAAACCCCCTCAAACACCTGTGGGTTTATTTAAGCCTCTTACCTGGTAGTTGCCAGATCTCATGCAGTTATGGATTTGACTATAAGGAGTTGCCTGCTGAGATGCATCGTCAGAAGAGGAGGTAAGAATTCCACAAGCCTGACAGTACCCAGCTAACCGTTCTTCATCGATGGTAAAATGAAGTGATGATGAACCATTCTGAAAAGTGAGAGTTACGCAAATCTCAGGGGCCAAAATGGTGAAAGATGAGCTTAATTTGACAACACAGATCCTCAATTTCCCCACGTAACAGCAGAACAACAAAAGAATGTATGTACGGAAGAAGTCAGCATAGAATCATAGAATCACAGAATGGTTTGGGTTGGAAGGGACCTTAAAGATCATCTAGTTCCAACCCCCCTGCCATGGGCAGGGACACCTTCCACTAGACCAGGTTGCTCAAAGCCTCATCCAGCCTGGCCTTGAACACTTCCAGGGATGGGGCATCCACAGCTTCTCTGGGCAACCTGTTCCAGTGCCTCACCACCCTCTCTGTGAAGAATTTCTTCCTGACATCTAATCTAAACCTCCCTGATTTCAATTTATACCCATTACCCCTTGTCCTATCACTACAGGCTCTTGTAAAAAGTCCTCTCCCAGTACCCCTGTAGGCCCCCTTCAGATACTGGAAAGCTGCAATGAGGTCTCCTCGGAGCCTCCTCTTCTCCAGGCTGAACAAGCCCAGTTCTCGCAGCCTTTCGTCATAGGAGAGGTGCTCCAGCCCTCTGATCATCTTCGTGGCCTCCTCTGGACTCGCTCCAAGTGGTTAATATCCTTCTGATATTGAGGGCTCCACAGTTGGACGCAGCACTCCAGGTGGGGTCTCACCAGAGCAGAGTACAGAGGCAGAATCACCTCCCTCGACCTGCTGGCCACACCTCTCCGGATACAGCCCAGGATACGGTTGGCTTTCTGGGCTGCCAGCGCACACTGCCGGCTCATGTTCAGGTTTTCATCAACCAGTACCCCCAGTCCCCCTACCACCCATATTTTTATAGGTGCTCGTCACAGCTTCCACCATGTTTTGTCTATTTAAATAAAAAGGGTCTGAACTTTGCAGTTTTGGGAATACAATCACAGAATGGTTTGGGTTGGAAGGGACCTTAAAGATCATCTAGTTCCAACCCCCCTGCCATGGGCAGGGACACCTTACACTAGACCAGGTTGCTCAAAGCCTCATCCAGCCTGGCCTTGAACACTTTCAGGGATGGGGCCTCCACAGCTTCTCTGGGCAACACATAAATACATGTACTATATATAACAATACATATATTATGTATACAAAATAAACATCATATATATGGTATATATAAAGCAATTATTTATATCATGTATATAGAGATAAATATTATATATTATGCGTATTATGTATATTATATGAATATAAACATGAAGCAAAATGAAAAAAGGAAGCATAACTTAGTTGTAAATTCAGTCGGCCAGAGTCAGCGGCG